CCCCAAAACCCCAAAACCCCAAAACCCCAAAACCCCATGATGCTGGATATTTGATGAATTATGAAATAAATAATTAAAGAATCAATCTTTTAATGGCCAAAGAAATGATTCAGCTAGCAGTTGATTTCCTAGTTTTCTTTGGATTTTGCGCTTGATTGTAAGAGCTGGAGCCAAATTTAATATTCCCGTTTGTATTTATGCTAAGCATACCATCTTGCATAGAAATCTACTCTCCAACAGCTTAATTGTGACTATTACTGAGATCTTGCAATCCTATTCTACTTTCTTTGTTGCTTCCAACCTACGGCTTGATCAGAATAGTTTTATTTTAGCTACTAACAACACTCAAAGTAGATTAATCATGATTTGATTAAGTTACAAAGAATTGATTGTTAATATTAGGATTGTTGCTATTAAAGCCAGGAGTATTTGAGGAATTTGAAAATTACCTTCTTAGTTCCTCCTCTTTTCTTGCTTGTTTTTCAGCTTATCTCTTCTTTCTCCACCTTCTTATAGCTCTTTGAATAATTAAGGCTGCTCTAGCTATCTGCTCTCTGCTAGAAATATACTGAGTCTTAATTGCTCTAATAGGGCCACCAGTCGTTGTTTAAAGATAATAGCTAGTCTTTTCTTTATGTCTGAATCTTGGTTTATCAGGACAATCTTTGAAGAATTCATATACGACCTTATTACGATAAGCCTCGGCTGATATAAATATTAAGAATACTTGTTCTTACTTTATTCAAGTGGCAAGTCTAGTGGATCTGGAAGTCCCTTTTTCTTAGGATTATGAAATCTCTCAAGTTCCTAATGCTCTTCAGTAGTTTTAAGTGAAGCATAATTATTTTCGAGGCCTCTAAGAACTACTCTAAATCTATTAGCAACTTTTATGTTTTCATCTCTTCTCTGCAAACTCTATCTCTCTTTATTAAGCATATCATCATGCTTGCGAATGATAGTTCCTTTTGAATCAGCTTTCTTTTTTAGATATTTGAACCTAGCTACTTTTGATTTTTCCTTTTCTTTTTCGTAGTTAACAATAACTTGATTAGAGATATGTGTTTCCACTTAATCTATCTTTTTCTTGTTCATCTTGTCGATAATTTATTGGAAATAGTCTTTATCAATGCATTCATTAAGAGAGGGAATCGATGAAACAATCTAAGCAAACAATTATTAAGATTAAAATGAAAGTTTAATTATTAATAAGAGAGAGAAGAGAAGTTAAGTAGATTAAATAATAATAATACTAAAAGTAAGTAAATGGATATTATCTTCTACTACCCAACTAACATACTTAGACCATTGAGATAAATAAAACTATCATAAGAACTATAGAAGAGTCAAGTCTAATTGAGGCGCATAAGAAACTTTGAGAAATCTTACAAACGCAATTAAACTAACTTTAGAATGATAGTATGTAGTTAGTCAAACAACTTTAAACCAAAAACTCTACAGATCAATCGATGAATGAGTACATCTACTAACTTACCCAAATCAACACTCTTAACGGGATAATATCTATTCATGAGTTTGTAAAAAGTTAATTCAAGGGAATAAAGATAACTTCTTTAGTCATGCTATCGTTTTTTAACTTCTGGAGCCCAATATTCTTTCCAGTTCCTCCATCTGATGATGGCATACTTCATAAGATACTTCATTTAGAGAAGTCATTGTCAAAATCAATTTAAGACAACTAGCAATCATCGTCCTTAATAACATTTAATGAGAATTGTCTGTAGATATCTATTTATATTTCTGTTTGATAATCCAAAATCAGCTAATTTGATACATTTCCATGTTGTAAAGACTTCTAGTTATGCATAAATTCTATAAGTTTCTCTATGATAATCTTTCTCAAAGAGCAAAATGTTATCAGAGGTTTTATATCTTGATGTATTAATGGCTATGGTCTTTGATATAGATTATTTATCATTATCTATATTCTAAACTACTTCAATTTAAATTTTTTCTATTGAATATTACTAATTTCTGAATCTGTTAGTCTTATTAA